TATTGATGGACGAGACATTAGTACACTATTCACAAGCTAAACGACGCAAGGGGCAAAAGAGAATCCATATGCTCTACCTAATCTCCTCTACTGTTTAGATTCTAAGCTCCACTTCTTCGATTCTTTAGAGGTGTTAAGGATTCTTAACACTTTACCGACCGATAGCCTATTAATCGACTGTTTTACCGGCTAACGTTTACCGACTGATAGCCTATTAATCAACTGTTTTACCGGTCGGCGTTTACCGACCGATAGCCGATTAATCAACCGCTACCGGTCGGTAAAGTGTTAAGTGAGGTACGAATTATTATATCTAGGGGTTGAGACAACCCTCTGCAAAGCTCCAATTTTCATTAATTTTATTAATAAAAATATGAATTTGCATGGAGATCCGCAGTCTACTAATGACCCTAATGAATTGATGCAACAGTAAAAATTAAATAAAAAAAAGAAGAAAAGTCTCAGAAAATTTTGATATTGTGGTATTTTAAGGTATTGTGGTTGCTAATGACCCTAATGGGTTGATACAACAGTAAAAATTAACTAAAAAAAAGAAGAAAAGTCTCAGAAAATTGAAACTTCGTTTTTGATTTTTAGTAATTTTATTTGACGCGCCATAGAAAAGTTGTCTACTACTTTTTTGTAGGTACCCATGAGCTCTACTTAAGAAAAAAGTTTCATTAAAATATATTCACTATTGTCAGAGTTATGACTGTTTGAAAATTTGACCATTTTTATGGAGTTTTCCCAACTTTACGGGGTTAAGGAATAACTTTTTCAATATTGTTAGAATTTCTACATATTCTACACTAAAATACGCGTAGTTTGCCGTTTGAAACATTAAAATCTACCAATCCGTTCAGAAGTTATGTCGTTTTAAAGATACGCATGAAATTTTGGAGTGACATTTCTGGCCTGAAATTATATTTTCGGTAAGGAATTTTTTTCCCGAAAATGCGTAGGATTTCAGGGGTATGTCTATTCACCAAAAATGATTGTAATTGATCCCCTCAACTGCAAATAATTTTTCCAGAACGATTCTAATTTTTTTTTTGCCGAAAAAGCTACCCCCTGTCAATGTTTCTTGAAACTTCGTTTTTGATTTTTAGTAATTTTATTTGACGCGCCATAGAAAAGTTGTCTAATACTTTTTTGTAGGTGTCCATGAGCACTACTTCAGAAAAAAGTTCCATTAAAATATATTCACTATTGTCAGAGTTATGACTGTTTGAAAATTTGACCATTTTTATGGAGTTTTCCCAACTTTACGGGGTTAAGGAATAACTTTTTCAATATTGTTAGAATTTCTACATATTCTACACTAAAATACGCGTAGTTTGCCGTTTGAAACATTAAAATCTACCAATCCGTTCAGAAGTTATGTCGTTTTAAAGATTCGCATGAAAATTTTAGAGTGACATTTCTGGTCTGAAATTATATTTTCGGTAAGGAATTTTTTCCCCGAAAATGCGTAGGATTTCAGGGGTATGTGTATTCACCAAAAATGATTGTAATTGATCCCCTCAACTGCAAATAATTTTTCCAGAACGATTCTAATTTTTTTTTTGCCGAAAAAGCTACCCCCTGTCAATTTTTCTTGAAACTTCGTTTTTGATTTTTAGTAATTTTATTTGACGCGCCATAGAAAAGTTGTCTACTACTTTTTTGTAGGTACCCATGAGCTCTACTTAAGAAAAAAGTTTCATTAAAATATATTCACTATTGTCAGAGTTATGACTGTTTGAAAATTTGACCATTTTTATGGAGTTTTCCCAACTTTACGGGGTTAAGGAATAACTTTTTCAATATTGTTAGAATTTCTACATATTCTACACTAAAATACGCGTAGTTTGCCGTTTGAAACATTAAAATCTACCAATCCGTTCAGAAGTTATGTCGTTTTGAAGATACGCATGAAATTTTGGAGTGACATTTCTGACTTGAAATTATATTTTCGGTAAGGAATTTTTTCCCCGAAAATGCGTAAGATTTCAGGGGTATGTCTATTCACCAAAAATGATTGTAATTGATCCCCTCAACTGCAAATAATTTTTCCAGAACGATTCTAAATTTTTTTTTGCCGAAAAAGCTACCCCCTGTCAATTTTTCTTGAAACTTCGTTTTTGATTTTTAGTAATTTTATTTGACGCGCCATAGAAAAGTTGTCTAATACTTTTTTGTAGGTGTCCATGAGCACTACTTCAGAAAAAAGTTTCATTAAAACATATTCACTATTGTCAGAGTTATGACTGTTTGAAAATTTGACCATTTTTATGGAGTTTTCCCAACTTTACGGGGTTAAGGAATAACTTTTTCAATATTGTTAGAATTTCTACATATTCTACACTAAAATACGCGTAGTTTGCCGTTTGAAACATTAAAATCTACCAATCCGTTCAGAAGTTACATCGTTTTAAAGATTCGCATGAAAATTTTAGAGTGACATTTCTGGTCTGAAATTATATTTTCGGTAAGGAATTTTTTCCCCGAAAATGCGTAGGATTTCAGGGGTATGTGTATTCACCAAAAATGATTGTAATGGACCCCCGCAATCAAAAATAATTTTTTCAGAATGATTTGAAATTTTTTAGTTTCGCCGAGTTTAAACGTTAATAACTTTTTAATGAAACCTCAATCAACAAATTGGTATTCTTGATTTTCGTTTTATTTTGGCCTCTAGAATCCCCCATTCAAATTTTTCCCAGAGTTGACCGAACATCTTGTATACTAGAAGAAAGTGAAAGTTAAGAACTTATATAACATGGTTTTGTATTTATCTGGTAAAATAGTCTAAAACATTTCCATTCAAACGTTTATTAACTGAATAATCAGTTAAAAATTGGACGAGTAAAATATGTTTATTAATATAAATTAAGAAAACAATTTGTTATTTATTTTACTATTTTTATTCTACTTTGTCCTTAAGTAAGAATATTTAAACTATTCGTGATATTAAGAAAAACTGATTCTGGAAACTTATCCACCTGTGAAGGCAACCCATTTTACGCTCCACGAATAAGGTTGAAGAGAAACCAACCAAATAAGCGAGTCCGCCATGTTCTATTGTCTACGAAAGGATAGATCATGGTCACGCAGTAATAAATTCCAAATGCAATTCAAAACTAGCACCGAGTTGGAATGAAGTCTCTGAAAATTTTGATATTGTGGTATTTTAAGGTATTGTGGTTGCAAGTTACCCTAATGAGTTGATGCAACAGTAAAAATTAAATAAAAAAGAATAAAAAATCTCAGAAAGTATAATTCGACCATAAATTATTACATATATTTATTATATTAATATTGAAAGCTTAAATTATATTTATGCTTGGATATTAATGCTTATTATATATTATTATTATATTAATATTGAATGCTTAAATTATATTTATGCTTGGATATTAATGCTTATTATATATTATTATATATATTATATTATTATTATTATTATATTATTATTATATACTAAGCATTAATATCCAATCTCTATTTGTTACGAATAGTTCTCTTGAAATAAACAAAAATTGTTAATCGAAGGAATTTTTCGGATAACTGAATATCTCGATCATATTTCGAGCAATGGAGAAAAGAGGTAAGGATTGCATCGAGCTAACGTAATCGGACGTTGAGGCGAACAGTCCTGACAAGATGGATTTCAAAAGCACACAGAGACTCGGAAAACTTCATCTCGTTATAACTTATATCAGTAAAAGGGACAGAACACTTTCTGTATGGAACTTCTCGCAGAGCAAAGTAGCAAAACTGATTTTATCCTGGAAAAATCGCTGTGAAAATGTTAACAAAACTTCTAACGCGAACAAATTCATTAAGTTCGGCGTTAATGACATTGTTGTAATTTCTTCTCGCCGTAGTTTGCAGTTTCTTATATTTACTGCAATGTTATTTGTTTTTTATGTAAATACAATAAAACAATCTTGATTTAATATACTTGGAAATACTGCAGAATAATAAATTCATATTTCGTTTTAATATCGAGTATTTTCAATTTTCACGCTGTAATTTTGAAAAAAAATATTTACAGCACTCCTAAACATGAAAAACTGTGTGTTATCAAAGAACAAAAATGAGTGATTCATTTTTATATATTTCTTAAAATTTTTATTTATTTATAGTATAGACGATATTTCATGGACAATTCCTAATCTCAGTTAGTGTATTAAATCAAAGTTTCACTGTACAACAAAGCTACTGACTTTACTAATTCAACGCCTACAAGCGAAACGTGATATTTTTAATAAATAGATCGTCTAATATTACTTGAATTTTAATTAACATTCATGCAAATCTAAACAATCTGGATAAATAAAATGCTAACTTCTGGTTTCTTCCATGAAACTGATCGCGAATATTTAACCCTTTGCACTCCTATATCGAGTATAACTCATCAGTTATTATCTCAGGAGCTTCGTTTTCAAGTCCAAACCGAAAAAAAAGAGATGTCGTACACTTAAAAATTCGAAAATACTACAATAGTGTAAATAAAGCAAATATTTAATTGAATTTGTTCCTCTACTTGTTCGAATTGCTTTATTTTATGTTGAGAGCTGCTGGGTAACAAAATTGAAACATAATTCGAAGTGCAAAGGACACGACATTCGTACAATTCCAATTTTCTGCTTTTTAGAAACTCAAAACGAACAGAAAAAAATGATGTGCGCGAATTAAAAGGTTATATCGATTTCGTCGTAGTATTTTATTTCCATTCGATGTTTCAAACACGTATTTCTCTCCACTGTCTCTCTTTTTATCCAATACGATACTCTAATAACCGTTACATATTCGGTGTCTCATATTTAACACTTTACCGACCGATAAAACAGTTGATTAATCGGCTATCGGTCGGTAAACGTCGACCGATAAAACAGTCGATCAATAGGCTATCGGTCGGTAAGCGTCGGCCGGTAAAACAGTCGATTAATAGGCTATCGGTCGGTAAAGTGTTAACAAAGACAACTTCTCGAGCAGATTTATCGCGAATGCTAAACTGTATTCTTCATTTTCTTCGGTTCTCCGTGCCCCATCGCTGATATTTATTGGGATTTCTATTTATTCTACCGAAAGGATACACTTTTTTTTGGGGACTCAAGTGTTCACGAGCCAACGTAGTTGTTTAACAGAAAAATAATGACAAAGCCGAGAATCGCGGAGAAGTACTGAAAAAGTCCCGAAGCTCGTCGCTCGCTCCTGTGCCATCTTGCCCTTTCCCTGGGAAATATTTCGCTGACAGTCACGTAGAGCAGGGTACCACCAGCCAAACCTTGCAAAATCGGCAGAACGATGTGCGTCCACTTCTTGTCCATCTACAGAAATCGTGTTATCAGTGTTGTACAGAGGACCCTGCACAAATCTCATGGAAAATGGGGGAAAACGGGGGTTAAATTAGCTGAACTTTTGATGTGATGTAGTTCGTTATGTCTTGATGAGAAGTTCCAATGGGCGCAAGCTCGTAAATTGAACAGTTTCCAAGATAAAGGGGATCAAAAGTCAATAATAGTGTGGCTTATTCTAGACTACCAAGTTTTGAGCATAATTTGAGTGTAAGAAGCACTGTTCACTGTTGTACACTGTCCATTAATTTGACCTCTTAAAACACATTACCGACCGATAGCCTATTAATCGACTGTTTTACCGGCCAACACTTACCGACCGATAGCGTATTAATCAACTTCTTTACCGACCAACGCTTACCGACCGATAGCCGATTAATCAACCGCTACCGGTCGGTAAAGTGTTAAAACTCAATAGTACTGTGGGCCCTTAACCCTTTGCACTCCGAATTATGTTTGAATTTTGTTGCGAGCAGCTTCCAACGCTTTCAAGTGTTTTATTTGACATTTACGTTAGCTAAAAAGTGGGGCAAATTTAAACAAATTCAATTAGATATCTGTTTTATTTACATTATCGTTGTGTTTTTTAATTTTCAAGTCGTGCAGGACTCGACAAAGGAGCTCCTGAGATAAAAATTGATGCCGAATAGGTGTGCAAAGGGTTAAATATTACCCAATCGTGTCAAAAGTTCAAATAATTTAACCAGGGGGGTCATTTTCCATCAGATCTGTGAGGGGTCCTTTTTATCCACATAACGAATATTGTTCTATTCCGTGAAATGTTTTTTACCCACGATGATGAGTGCATAAATATTCATTTTTTATGTAAATTATAAAAATATCTTTAATCCTAGTATTTACACTAGGATCGATAAATTTAGTTGAGCCAAATAAGAAAGAGAATCGTTAAATTCATATTTATCAGAAATATGAGTTAGTAAAATATGTAATATGATAAGTATCCTAGAATATATGGTGATCCTGGTAGAGAATGGTGTGATCTTATATGAAAAAGCAAATCGAAAATCAACGATAGAATTTGTTCGTTTGAGACTTCATTTTTAAAATATGAATTACTTCACTATGGCTGTCTACGACATATTGTTTCTATTTAATACTTAAGCTAAAATCCAAGTTTTGCTCTATTAACGATGGTCAAAATAATACTCGATAATAATCTAACTGATTAATTATCGATTAAAATAGTTAATTTATGTTAGTTCTCAATAATATTCTAATCATTGAAGTAAGTCAAGTTCAATCGTTAAGTTCAACATTTATATTGTTATAGAACATCGAAATACGCTTGAAATTAATAAATTTTAACTATATTTAGAGCTGTCCAAATACTTGAAAATTAAACGAATACAAAATTAATTTTTTCAAACCAAGTCAAATATTTGATTATCCAAGAAGCTTGAATATTTAATAAAACTTGAGAAAATTCAATGTGAATTGATTATTTGTACATGTGAAAATGATTATAATGTAATAATTATAATGTAATATTATGTAATAAGTTAGAAGCTTATATGTTAATTATAAAAATTATACTTATATTACATGTTACAATTTTTACGCTTGTTTCAAAATCATTTTATTCTAAACTCAATGAAATTTTCAATTTCATATAATTCTTTAACTTTTACGAACTTGCTAGCAAAAAAACTACTCAAATATCCAAAAAACCATGTCAAGTTATTTAAATGAATAGATTTTTGTTTAAATTTCTAGAATTATCAGGATTATTCTTCATTTTATCTAAGCTTATTCAAATTCTATCCAAGCACACATTATCATTAAAATATAATACTATAATCAAGTTCATTTGAATAATCAAGATTGCTTGAAAAATCAAATATTTAATTTGATTTAAACAATCCAAGCTAAACTTAATATTTTTGTTTAAATTTCTAAAATTATTAGGATAATTCTTGATTTTATCTAAGCTTATTCAAAATATAATACTATAATCAAAAATACATAATCAAGAGTTCATTTGAATAGTCAAGATTGCTTAAAAAATTAAATAATTGATTCGATTTAAACAATCCAAGCTAAACTTAAATCAGCTTTTATTTTCTAGTACTTGGACACTTCAACATAGATTATTAAAAAAAAAAACTCCTGACATTATTTTGAGCACTCGATTTGGTATGTGTGATACGCGAGAAAAATGACTTTTCGAGATGAAAATTTTCGAGTGTAGAGAAATATTTATTCTCGGGATGACTATTTGCTATTTACTTACTCGAAGCGTTAACATTCCGATTCCTATTCCAACCGCAGACCCGCCCGAGAAAAAGAAAATTGCTGTAACGAGCCTCAAAAGTGAACTGTTTGCCCCGGCTAATTCCAACCCTAAACAAAAACCGACGACGAACTTATGGGAAGCCACTGCTCCGACCAAAAGTAAAACCTAAAAATAAGGAATACAATTAAAGCAAACAATATTTAAATCGCGATAAGCCAAAGTAAAACAAAGAAACGATCTTCTAACTCGTTTAAAAACAATTAAATAGATTTTAATCAAATCGTATCATAAAATAAAATACATCATCATCATCATCATCATCATCATCATCAACAACAACAACAACAACACCAAAAAACAACAACAACAACAGCAACAAAAACAACAATAACAGCAACAGCAACAACAACAATATTAACAACAATAGCAACGACAATAATAACAGCAACAACAATAACAATAACAATAATAACAATAACAACAACACCAATAACATCATTGTCGTCATAATCATCAACAACAACACCAAAAACAACAACAACCGCAGCAACAAAAACAACAATAATAACAACAACCTCATCATTGTCGTCATAATCATCAACAACAACACCAAAAACAACAACAACCGCAGCAACAAAAACAACAATAATAGTAACAACAATAACAACAACCTCATCATCATCGTCATCATCGTCATAATCATCAACAACAGCACAAAAAACAACATCATCATCAACGTCGTCGTCATAATCATCATCAACAACAACAACAACAATAACAACAACAACAGCAACAACCACAATAACAACAACAATGGCAACGACAATAATAACAGCAACAACAATAACAATAACAATAATAACAATAACAACAACACCAATAACATCATTGTCGTCATAATCATCAACAACAACACCAAAAACAACAACAACCGCAGCAACAAAAACAACAATAATAGCAACAACAATAACAACAACCTCATCATCGTCGTCATCATCGTCATAATCATCAACAACACAAAAAACAACATCATCATCAACGTCGTCGTCATAATCATCATCAACAACAACAACAACAATAACAACAACAACAGCAACAACCACAATAATAATAATAATAATAATAATAAAGAATAAAGTTTAATATTTTGTCTCAAACTCAACTCAAGGCTAATTCAGACACAAAATTGTTTTTGAAAATATCTCGAAAACAAAGGGCAAGCGATTGTAACATTTATAAAGAAAAAAATCTTCATAACAATGACATTAACAACACATTTCAAGGACATCAAAATTGATGAGGAATCGCTAAAGTAAATAATTACCAACAAAAAATATACTTATAATACCACATGAGGTGGAAGAGTAACTAAGACTATAAAAATAAAAGAATACAAATAACTGATGTGTAGCAGGATATACATTTCATAAAAAGCGTACGAATTTTCCGGTCGACCCAATATTAACTCAATATTAGCTACAATAGCGATGTTCGACTTGCATACACACGAGATTGAAGTCCGAAAATCGACCGATAAAGCGTATCTGCCACGGTGTGATAAAGCAATGTGCCCCGGAGATCGAGCTTGTTTAACACTTTACCGACCGATAGCCTATTAATCGACTGTTTTACCGGCCAACGCTTACCGACCGATAGCCTATTAATCAACTGTTTTATCGGTCGACGTTTACCGACCGATAGCCGATTAATCAACCGCTACCGGTCGGTAAAGTAAATATTTATCGTCACCCACCTCGGACATCGCTTTCTGCAAACCGATCGCTAATCCCTCGAGAATGGAGTGCATTGTCAACGCCAACAAAAGGCCCATCAGACCGGTTTTGGTGTCTGGACATGGCTCGGCGTGATTCCCGTGGCACAAAAAAGTGGCTTCTTCGTTGAAAGATGGGGCACTAGGCGCGTATTGGACCGCGCCATAAGTACTGTTTTTCAAATTGCTCGGTACGTATCCAGAAACGCTCGGCTGATAGAACCCCTTCGGATTAACCTCGGGCGCGTAAACGCCTCCGACAGTCCGTGTGGATCCGGAATAGCTGCAAACATCCATTTCGTGATTGACTATGGCATCAGGTACATGGCTGACCGAGATCAATTGTTTCGAGCTCGTGTCATCGAGCGTTAGGCAAATTTCAATCACACTACCATCGACGATTAACACATTACCGACCGATAGCCTGTTAATCGACTTTTTTACCGGCCAACACTTACCGACCGATAGCGTATTAATAAACTTTTTTACCGACCAACGCTTACCGACCGATAGCCGATTAATCAACCGCTACCGGTCGGTAAAGTGTTAAAAACCGTCGTTACGAACGATTACCAAACAAGAGTCACAATTCAAATCGGTGATAATATTTTAACAATTTGCGTCTACTTTTATCGCTGATCGTTAGCCCCCATCGATCATCGTTAATTACTTATCTGAGCTCACAAATGTCAGAACGAATTTAAATATTTGACTATTTCGGAACGTATTCCCTGTGCAACTCGAGCTTTTTTATTTAACCATCAAGTCAAATATTTATCCAAATGCAACGTTGGTCGCTATCTGGGTCGTTTCAACAATATTGTTTCGACCCATGTTGCCGCTTTGATTTCATATTATTGACATTGGTATTACCGTGTATAAACATTCAGATATACCGTGTTTAATCGTGAAATGATTAAACAATTTTTTAAATGATTACGAAAAAGGAAATCGTTTTAACGTTCTGTTTCCTTTACATGTTTTAAGAATCAAAATTTTAGTAAACGTTTCTGTTTGAATTTAAAGGGAAAAATCTGTGTGTAATAATAACATTTAAGTTTCTAATCCTTTCGTTTAATCTTTTGACTGTGGCGCGCCCTAGGAAGAATCCATCAACATAGATGGCGCTGAGAATCAAATGAGAATCAAAGTTTTATTAAACGTTTCTGTTTGAATATAAACCGGACACTTTTGCACATTATTGTATGTAATAATAGCATTTAAGTTTCTAATCCCTGGTGGGTAATCCTTTCGTTTAACCTTTTGACTGTGGCGCGCCCTAGGAAGAATCCATCGACATAGATGGCGCTGAGAATCAAATGAGAATCAAAGTTTTATTAAACGTTTCTGTTTGAATATAAACGGGACACTTTTGCACATTATTGTATGTAATAATAGCATTTAAGTTTCTAATCCCTGGTGGCTAATCCTTTCGTTTAACCTTTTCACTGTGGCGCGCCCTAGGAAGAATCCATCAACATAGATGGCGCTGAGAATCAAATGAGAATCAAAGTTTTATTAAACGTTTCTGTTTGAATATAAACGGGACACTTTTGCAAATTATTGTATGTAATAATAGCATTTAAGTTTCTAATCCCTGGTGGGTAACCCTTTCGTTTAACCTTTTGACTGTGGCGCGCCCTAGGAAGAATCCATCAACATAGATGGCGCTGAGAATCAAATGAGAATCAAAGTTTTATTAAACGTTTCTGTTTGAATATAAACAGGGCACTTTTGCACATTATTGTATGTAATAATAGCATTTAAGTTTCTAATCCCTGGTGGCTAATCCTTTCGTTTAACCTATTGACTGTGGCGCGCCCTAGGAAGAATCCATCAACATAGATGGCGCTGAGAATCAAATGAGAATCAAAGTTTTATTAAACGTTTCTGTTTGAATATAAACGGGACACTTTTGCACATTATTGTATGTAATAATAGCATTTAAGATTCTAATCCCTGGTGGGTAATCCTTTCGTTTAACCTTTTGACTGTGGCACGCCCTAGGAAGAATCCATCGACATAGATGGCGTGACTGTCGCTTAGACTGGTGACCAAAAAAGTACTTGGAGATTTGAGAGACCATTCTCACGGTTTAAAAAACTAATAAATGCAAATAAATTAAAATATCCAATTCCATGTCGAATCAATTGGTAAAACAGTAAAAAAAATGCAGAGTAAATTTACGTTTTGATGGATTGATGGATGAATTTTATGATTGATGGATAGATGGCGCGACTGGCGCTTAGACTGGTGACCAGAAAAGTACTTGGAGATTTGAGAGACCATTCTCACGGTTTAAAAAACTAAAAAATGCAAATAAATGAAAATATCCAATTCCATGTCGAATCAATTGGTAAAACAGTAAAAACAATGCAGAGTAAATTTACGTTTTGATGGATTGATGGATGAATTTTATGATTGATGGATAGATGGCGCGACTGTCGCTTAGACTGGTGACCAGAAAAGTACTTGGAGATTTGAGAGACCATTCTCACGGTTTAAAAAACTAATAAATGCAAATAAATGAAAATATCCAATTCCATGTCGAATCAATTGGTAAAACAGTAAAAAAAATGCAGAGTAAATTTACGTTTTGATGGATTGATGGATGAATTTTATGATTGATGAATAGATGGCGCGACTGTCGCTTAGACTGGTGACCAGAAAAGTACTTGGAGATTTAAGAGACCATTCTCACGGTTTAAAAAACTAATAAATGCAAATAAATGAAAATATCCAATTCCATGTCGAATCAATTGGTAAAACAGTAAAAAAAAATGCAGATGGCGTAAATTTACGCTTTGATGGATGAATTTTATGATTGATGGATACGTGAAAGCGTATATTTACGTCTTTAGGAGTAAAAGAGGGTTAATAGTTCGCTTTGCAATCACTTTGCTCGCTAATTCGTCTCGATTAGAAGTAGAAACGTGTTGCAACCACAATCAGAACGATAAACTGTAAGGAAAAATTCCCCGCGGCTACGTCAAACTAAACAAACCCGTCGCCTGCAAGCTTTCGTTCCGATAAAGACGTGAAAGATATCTAAGTTCGATTGGTATCTAACCACTGTGTTTATCGAGAGATAAACCGATCTTCCTCGACGTGGCGTGCAACTTTCGCTCGCTTTTCCGTGTACAAAGATCCTTCGAAGGCTCGACAATGCTTCGAACGGTATAGAATGAGCAAAGGAATAACACGATTAGCGAGAAACAATGTCGAGAGCGGAACGCTTCTATCGAGTTTCTTCTTGGTCTTCCATTATCAGACATTTGCTAAAGACTTTGACCTTATTATCGAGTAGTTAAGAGCTAAACGTCGAATTATTCGCGTTCGAGTATCGTTTATATCCACGAGACAATCGACTGATACGCGTATATCGACTCGATAGCATTAAATAAATTAAATACCGTGTTCCTTATCGATCCAAGAACTGTTTCGTGTGACACTGTACGTATGTACTTCATTACGTAAGTTTTCGTTGTATTGTTAACACTTTAAACTCGATTCTCCCATTTATAGAGACATTGTGAATGCAGGAAATAATTCGACGGTCCTTTTTAACACATTACCGACCGATAGCCTATTAATCGACTGTTTTACCGGCCAACGCTTACCGACCGATAGCGTATTAATCAACTTCATTACCGACCAACGTTTACCGACCGATAGCCGATTAATCAACCGCTACCGGTCGGTAAAGTGTTAAGAATCGTAAAATTGTTTACGAGGCCAAAACTTTTTCACAATTGGAATTCCAAAATAATATTTATTTCTGATTTATGATAATATAACTGTTTCATTGTAGCTAAATGTTTTAGTCAGTCTTCAAAAAGCTTGAAATTAACAATAAATAAAAATCATATACAAACATAAATTGTCTCTAATTTTTCTTTTCGTGAATAAGTATGGAATCTTTTTATTCTACATCAAATATATTGTAAAAAATGGAGAATCAATTCTTATAAGAATTATCAATTGTCAGTCAAGTCAAAATCAGTCTTCAAAAAGCTTAAAATTAACAATAAATAAAAATCATATAGAAACATAAATTGTCTCTAATTTTTCTTTTCGTGAATAAGTATGGAATCTTTTTATTCTACATCAAATATATTGTAAAAAAAGAAGAATCAATCCTGATAAGAATTATCAATTGTCAGTCAAACGTTTTAGTCAGTCTTCAAAAAGCTTGAAATTAACAACAAATAAAAATCATATACAATCATAAATTGTCTCTAATTTTTTATTCTACATGAATTATATTGTAAAAAAAGGAGAATCAATCCTGATAAGAATTATCAATTGTCAGTCAAACGTTTTAGTCAGTCTTCAAAAAGCTTGAAATTAACAATAAATAAAAATCATATACAATCATTAATTGTCTCTAATTTTTTATTCTACATGAAATATATTGTAAAAAAAGGAGAATCAATCCTGATAAGAATTATCAATTATCAGTCAAACGTTTTAGTCAGTCTTCAAAAAGCTTGAAATTAACAATAAATAAAAATGATCTATTACTGTTCATTTTACTGTTGCTACGACAATATCAGGAATTGATCATTCTTTTTCCGTGCAATACATCCTATAACGCAGTAACTATAACCTCAAAAATTAATTTTCACGGTGAAATGTTAATGTTCTTAACTAAATCCAAGTAGGATTCTTGAATTTTTATAAATGAACAAAAATAAATACTTCGATCAATTTTCGATTATACAATTTTTAATTGATCGAAAAGAAAATTTGAACTTTATAAAAAATTGTATGTTTATTGATGAAAATTGTAACTTTATAGAAAGTGTTATGTTTATTACTGAAAATTGTAACTTTATAGAAAGTGTTATGTTTATTAATGAAAATTGTAACTTTATAGAAAGTTGTTAAGTTTATTGTTAAAAATTTTAACTTTATAGAAAGTGTTATGTTTATTGATGAAAATTTTAACTTCATTGAAAATGTTATATTTAACAGTCGAATCAACGAAGCACTATTCCAAGAGATTAAACAAACTAGCAACATTTTTATAAAATTGTTTTGAACATTCTCTGCGGCTCAAGTTATTTTATCTAGCTTTCCACAGGTCTGTTTCTGCATAGCAAACAAACGTTGTAGGCAAATTCGCTAAAAATAAACAGGGATAATCTTGTTCCAGAATTAAAATTTAAAGCGGATCTGTTTCAAGCTGATCTTAATCCCCGAATCATCCATGTAGATACACACGAGGCGCTAATAAAGTGTCCCAATTTCTTCAGTTTTTTTCAACAATAGTTTCAACTCTTGCACAACGTTATCAAATATCAAGCTTTTCGCTGGAATAAAAACCTGCTTTAACTTGTCTTCCACCAAAAAATCGTCCATTTAAATCAGCAACAGCTTTAATAGCACTTTCTATTCTTTTGAATTATCAAGTTTTACGTTATCAAATATATTAAATTAAATAATTCGTTATACGACAGCTGGTTTCTTCTTTACCGACATTCTAAGAATTTTCAATATATTTTTTAATCTTATTCTTGACTGTAATATTAAATTAAACAATTTGTTATACGACAACTGGTTTCTTCTTTACCGACATTCTAAGAATTTTCAATATGTTTTTTCAATTTCATTCCCGGCTGTAATATTCAATTAAACAATTTGTTATACGACACAGCTGGTTTCTTCTTTACCGACATTCTAAGAATTTTCAATATATTTCTTTAATTTCATTCCCGGCTGTAATATTAAATTAAACAATTTGTTATACGACACAGCTAGTTTCACTTCTTTACCGACATTCTAAGAATTTTCAATATATTTCTTTAATCTTATTCTCGACTGTAATATTAAATTAAACAATTTGTTATACGACAACTGGTTTCTTCTTTACCGACATTCTAAGAATTTTCGATATATTTCTTTAATTTCATTCCCGGCTGTAATATAAAAATTAAACAATTTATTATACGACACAGCTAGTTTCACTTCTTTACCGACATTCTAAGAATTTTCGATATATTTCTTTAATTTCATTCCCGGCTGTAATATTCAATTAAACAATTTGTTATACGACACAGCTGGTTTCTTCTTTACCGACATTCTAAGAATTTTCGATATATTTCTTTAATTTCATTCCCGGCTGTAATATAAAAATTAAACAATTTATTATACGACACAGCTAGTTTCACTTCTTTACCGACATTCTAAGAATTTTCAATATATTTTTTCAATTTCATTCCCGGCTGTAATATTAAATTAAACAATTTGTTATACGACACAGCTGGTTTCTTCTTTACCGACATTCTAAGAATTTTCGATATATTTCTTTAATTTCATTCCCGGCTGTAATATTCAATTAAACAATTTGTTATACGACACAGCTGGTTTCTTCTTTACCGACATTCTAAGAATTTTCGATATATTTCTTTAATTTCATTCCCGGCTGTAATATAAAAATTAAACAATTTATTATACGACACAGCTAGTTTCACTTCTTTACCGACATTCTAAGAATTTACAATATGTTTTTTTAATTTTATTCACATTCATTTTGAAGAGGAAACTAGAGGTGTGAGGTATTCCAAAAATATCGAGATAAAATTTTCGTGAACACATAAATGGCCAGGATTCCGGAAGAGATTCGAGTGTCGCGAAAACGCTCAGCATATTCTCGAATGGCAAGGTAATCATAGGATCCCAACTGTCTCGAATAAATTCTTCTCGACACATCCGGGATTTCGAGGGCTTCAATCTTCCACATACCATTAATTCCAAGTTTCAACTTTTGCCACGTTTTCGACCTCGCAAAATTTACTTATTCGTTCATCTATAATAGTTCGTTTATCGAGAAAATTTGTTACAAAAGTCTAAGTGAAAACAATACATAAAAGAAGTAACGAGTAGAAAATATTTTATTTCAAATTTTCCTGCGAAAGAAACTTTCATTCTATTGATTTTTCATTCTAAATTCATTTTATTGAGTGTAACGAAATTCCTAGCCTTTCGATAGTGATTTGTGTTGCTGAAGAATGTATTTCCTTGCTATTTGTAATACTATCGGAAATCGTTCGTTATATCGAAAAACTATGACAATTTTATATCGTCGATATTGAAACGAATATCGAAACGATATTCGAGTTGTCGATATTTTTAAGAATCCTAGAAATCCTCGAAATCCCTACATTTTCGTGGAAACAGTATCACTCTTATATTTTGGATTAACAAAATGTAAAAATTAGAGACACCAGGAATTCATTGTTCTTTTTACTGAGATCTCTAATTTTCACATCTTATTAATCCAAAATATAAGAATGATATTGAAACGAATATCGAAACTACATTCGAATTGTCCATATTTTTAAGAATCCTAGAAATCCTCGAAATCCCTACATTTTTACATTCCCTTACATGCGCAATTTAAACGTTATCTAGAGTCCGATATGATGCAAAGTATTATTTTTCATTTGAACGCAATAAATCTTTTCATTTTCCATTATTTTCCAACTTTGAAAGAAATTCGACACTAATTAATAAATAACGAAAGATTGTTCCAAGTGATTTAAAGATGTCTATTTAAATTTGATAGCAATGATATTGGCGCTACTTGTATCGAGATCAATTCACAATTGATTTTCTCGCCAAAGAAATGTTAAACGTAAAAATTTCATTCTTTATTTTCGTCCAGAAGCACCCTCTTCCCGCTAATATAGTCTCCACCAATTATGTCGAAATAAAAACTATTTAATGCGCAATTTAAACGTTATCTAGAGTCCGATATGATGCAAAGTATTATCTTTCTTTTGAACGCAATAAATTTTTTCATTTTCCATTATTTTCCAACTTTGAAAGAAATTCGACACTAATTAATAAATAACGTAAGATTGTTCCAAGTGATTTAAAGATGTCTATTTAAATTTGATAGTAATGATATTGGCGCTACTTGTATCGAGATCAATTCACAATTGATTTTCTCGCCAAAGAAATGTTAAACGTAAAAATTTCATTCTTTATTTTCGTCCAGAATCACCCTCTTCCCGCTAATATAGTCTCCACCAATTATGTCGAAATAAAAACTATTTAATGCGCAATTTAAACGTTATCTAGAGTCCGATATGATGCAAAGTATTATTTTTCTTTTGAACGCAATAAATCTTTTCATTTTCCATTATTTTCCAACTTTGAAAGAAATTCGACACTAATTAATAAATAACGAAAGATTGTTCCAAGTGATTTAAAGATGTCTATTTAAATTTGATAGCAATGATTAGACTGCGGATCTTTATGCAAATTCATATTTTTATTAATACAATTAATGAAATCGGAGCTTTCTAGAGGGTTGTCTCAACCCCGAAATATAATAATTCGTATCTTACTTTTGCATAACAAGTGCATTCTGTAGTTTTTTTGAGAATTAAAATTTCTCATAAATACATAGACATCCGCAGTCCAGTAATGATATTGGTGCTATTTGTATCGAGATCAATTCACAATTGATTTTCTCGCCAAAGAAACCATAAACGATTTGATTTTTCATCTAGAATCACCCTCTTTCGTACCACCGTTTCTGGGACACCCTGTATACGCGAAACCACACCCATGTAACTCGGAACCGCGTAACTCGATGACTACAAGTACTACCACTACGTACACCGGACTAGGCGTGACCCCGTTCCTGACGTCGTAACGCTGAGGCTCGACAGTGTGCTCGATGTCGTTGCCCCACACGTAGTGAACGATTTCGTCCACGAGGTAGAGCAGAAGGAAGCCACAGGCGAACACCAGTTCCGCGTGCTGGGGCATAGACTCGCGAGTTTCCGGCAGCATGTGGAGGATCGCGGTGGCTAGCAACACGCCTCCGCCGAAGCACAGTGTGCACGATAGCAACAGTCTCTGCTGAAGATCGCGTACGCGTGAAACGAAACACGCCGGTGCAACGCCGACGACGAAGCTGCCGACCCCGATGGCGATCATCGAGGCGAACTTCGCCTGGATCACGGTGATCGTCATTTCACGGGAGAACGCGGGCACACCGATCGGCTGACACTGCCAGCAGGGGACACTCGTCCGCGCGATTGACGCTAATCTGGCAGCCGGTGATAAGGTCAATCGACTCGTGCGATACGAGAGCGATCGGTGCTCGCTGGAAAATCGGTTATCGGTGAAATTCGACGGGCAGAGCGTCCGTAAATGGGCACCGCGCCCGTGGCCCGTGATTGCATTATTATCTGTCACCGACTACAACGCGTACCGGCCGCGATCGAGACACTGACGGGCCCCCGTTCGATGATAAATGGACAACGGCGAAGAACGCGACAAGGAACGCCACCTCGAAACCGCGACGCATGCAGAGACCAGCGATAGATAGCGTCGATGAGTGCTATTGTTCGATATCCGATAAGACGCGACGATAACGCGTTTTTCTTCTTTAACACTAGATTGCCCAAGGAAGTCATTTTGACTGCTTTTTAATTTCAATTAGAAAAACAATTATGTATATAATGACACAATTTCTTAGAATTTTGTGACTTTTTGCACAACATATAAATGCGTTTATTAATAATTGTAGTTACCTCCCCCCTCCTTCATTTCCGGTATATATATATATGTGTTATACCCGTATCGCCTAAAAGCAGTCATTTTGACTGCTTGGAAAATTTTAAATAATCAAATGACTCTTATTATTGAATTGAGTAAATTTCTTATATGACCAGTTCGACTCTGTATTGAAATAACAGTTTTCATTTTTTTTCGATTACCAACACATGATAACATACAAGTACATGATAAATTGTCGATTTGGGCTTACCTAACCCAGACCTAACCCAGACCTAACCCAGATCTAATCCAGACCTAACCCAGACCTAACCGAGACATAACCCAGACCTAACCCAGACCTAACCCAGACCTAACCCAGACCTAACTCAGATCTAATCCAGACCTAACCCAGATCTAACTCAGATCTAATCCAGACCTAACCCAGACCTAACCCAGACCTAACCCAGACCTAACCCAGACCCTAGATCTGGTTAGGTCTGGGTTAGGTCTGGGTTATGTCTGGGTTAGGTCTGGATTAGATCTGAGTTAGATCTGAGTTAGGTCTGAGTTAGGTCTGGGTTAGGTCTGGATTAGATCTGAGTTAGGTCTGGATTAGATCTGAGTTAGCTCTGGGTTAGGTCTGGATTAGATCTGAATTAGATCTGGGTTAGGTCTGGGTTAGGTCTGGGTTATGTCTCGGTTAGGTCTGGGTTAGATCTGGGTTAGGTCTGGGTTAGGTCTGGGTTAGGTCTGGGTTAGGTCTGGATTAGATCTGAGTTAGCTCTGGGTTAGGTCTGGATTAGATCTGAATTAGATCTGGGTTAGGTCTGGTTTAGGTCTGGATTAGTTAATAATCCAAATTATCTTAACCCTTTGCACTCCTATGTCGAGTGTGATTCGACATCAATTTTGATATCAGGAGCACCTTCGTCAAGTCTCACTCGACATTCTTTCAAGTCCAAACCAAACAGATATCATACACTTGGAAATTACAAAATACAACAACAGTGTAAATAAAACACTTATTTTAGCAGGTAAATTTCAAATAAAACACTTAAAAGCATTGTTCGTCAAGTCCCATTCGACATTTTTTCGAGTCCAAACCAAATCATACACTTGGAAATTACAAAATACAACAACAGTGTAAATGAGACCTAACCCAGACCTAACCCAGACCTAACCCAGATCTAATCCAGACCTAACCCAGATCTAATCCAGATCTAATCCAGACCTAACCCAGATCTAATCCAGACCTAACCCAGACCTAACTCAGATCTAATCCAGACCTAACCCAGACCTAACTCAGATCTAATTCAGATCTAATCCAGACATAACCCAGACCTAACCCAGACCTATTGATAAATTGCAGTTTCTCAATAAGCTAAAGTAGTACTTGTTATTCGAATCTTTATGCAGTGATACTTGTTCTAACAAGTTGTTTATTTTATTTCTACGCCCTAAATTCATAATATTATAACATAATATTAAAAATTAATTTTAAACAAATTTCTTTACACATTAGTTAGTCTTTCACAATGCAGTCATTTTGACTGCTTTTGGGCAATATAGGTATATACTAAGTTTCAGTCTTTCTAGTGTTAAATGAATTTTATACGAAGCAAAGAGCATTCGACGGTATCGCGCGCGTGAAACAATGGGATACCTCTTCAGTTTCGATATCGGTGCTAAATATAAGCGTTACTAGGATTTATCTAGCGACGAAGCGATTGGAAGCGTTGGAAGACTTCGTTTCTTGTATCATATGTATCGAACATAGAAAAATTTAGGTTTTTATGGATGTGGATCCATCATAGAATGTTTTACATTTGTATTATGTACCTATCAATGACTTACGTCACACATATTGTATGCTCACTCTTGGTATTTCTGATAAGAATGTTTGATAATACTTTAACACTTTACCGACCGGTAGCGGTTGATTAATCGGCTATCGGTCGGTAAGCGTTGGTCGGTAAAAAAGTTGATTAATACGCTATCGGTCGGTAAGTGTTGATCGGTAAAAAAGTCGATTAATAGGCTACCGGTCGGTAAAGTGTTAAGATTATTTAAAATTTTCAAGATTATTAAAATACCTAAGGATGTATTTCATTGATACGTACACCGCAAATTCTCTATTTTATATTTTAAATTGTAATATACCATTTATTAAAAAACTAACTCGGCAGAAACGTATTCGCGACTCGAAATCAGTGTTATCAGACCTAACACCAGGGCGAAGAAGTTATGTGGAACTATGAGAAGAACGCAGCCATTAGCTCATATTATTTGCTATGTAATTAATAATTATATTAATTACATAGTAAATAATAATCCCCAGGTCTCACCTCGAGGAGGTTGCTGCGTATGGAGACCCGCCCTAGCCTCGCCCCAACCACCCTTCCTTTGGCGAGGAATTCGAATACCTATCCAAGAGAGAAGCTATCGAAAAGTTAGAAATGAGCTAGAAAAGGAGAGTTCTTAAAAGAACTGCCCAATGAAGAGACGAAGAACCTAACAGAATGTCAATACATGTGAGATGATACACATGTTTTCTAAAAACGAAATTTAAATGTGCAAACTGCACGCACGAACTCTGACTGATGAAGAGATCGAAAACCTAACAAAATGTTGATACATGTGAGATAATCCATCACATGTTTTTTAGAAACGAAATTGGAATGTGCAACTGCACGTACGAACTCTGACGAAGAGATCGAAAACCTAACAGAATGTTGATACATGTGAGATAATCCATCACATGTTTTTTAGAAACAAAATTGGAATGTGCAACTGCACGTACGAATCCTGATTATTGAAGTACCAATATGTACTTTATTATTAATTGTTCCTTCTTATATGGATGTTTTTATTATGACAGTGCCTAATAAGACACTGAAGATCCAACCAGAAATGTGCAACTGCACGTATGGACCTTGCATATTAGAATACTAATATGTACCTTAATATTAATCATCCCCACTTAAATTTACGCACACGTTTCAGTAGTATTTAATCAAACGCTGGAGAACGCTTTTTTATCTTATAATCTACATACATTTTTACTTATATTCTAACGCAATCTGAAGTACAAAAGAAATACGTGGAAATATTTTCTTCTTGGTGTCTTCATCCATCCCACGATGTTTTTCTAAAACATACACTCATATACGAAAAATATAACCGATACAAAACGAAGATATGACAAGATATTTTCTGCTTGGTGTCTTCGACAATCCCACGATGTTTCCCTGAAACAAAAACTCATATCCAATAAATGTAACTCATATAAAACAAAGAAATATGAAAAGATACTTTCTTCTTGGCATCTTGGTTAATCCCACGATGTTTCCCTGAAACATAAACTCAGAGAATAAATAGAATTGTATGAAATATTTCTGTAAGAGCGATCAAGATGGAATCTGTGTACCATTTCCAATTCTATTCTTCAATGATTATATATTCTGTAACAAGAACTTGTTCAAAGGATTAATAGCTGAAATGAAAGTGTATTAATGAACACAGAAAAAAATAATTATATACCGTCAAGATAGTAAAAGTGATATTATGAAATTAATATTTGAACTAAAGCTTCCACGAGTAAAAATTGATATAAAAAAGTTTAAAAACATAAATTGAAATTGAATTAAATGTTAAATTCGTCTCAATGTTAAGATAAATATGAAATAGATTGGAAATTTTATTCATTACCGTAGATTTTATTTTACGTTTCGTTTATCAAATAAAAAATTTTTCAAGACGTATACATTGAAATAATTATATTTTACTGTACTAAAAACTAAATTAGATAAAAAGCAATAACGAACGAAAATGTCGATTCTGCGCGGAAATGAACTCTCAATATGAAATATCGAATTGCAATTTGCATACCCATTTGATGCAAGCATTCTATTTTCCATCGATTAAAACAACGATCGCGAACAAACTTTGATTTATGCAAAGAATACAGAATATTTATAAAAAATTCACTATTTATAAATAACAACTGGGTTGCAAAGGTTATTATATCCCGTAAAAATTACCAACTCTAAAAATGAACAATTAGTGATATAGATATAGTATATTGGAATCATAATTTCAATCTATAATAAAATTAATCATAATATAGCACTTTTAAAGGAATCACAAATCTGTGATAAAAATACATTCACATAAAACAATTGGTCTATTTACAATAGTAGTTTCAAGCAGTATTTCTTTTGAGAAATATATAAAAAAAAGATATATTACAAATAGTTGTAATAAACGTCCACTCGACTTAAATTCAAACAACCCGTGAGTGGACCATTCTTTCTTTCGCAACGCTAAATTATAAAATAAAAAACTATACGCGAATGGTGCTTGTTATTCGTAAAATGAACCACACAGGGTTCCTTTATTAATTAAATCGCGTGCACCCATATTAAATCATGCGCAACACTAATTTTAATAACGACGTTGAGCCATTCGAGGCTTTGCAGAATCCCATCTTGCTTCTCGATGATCCTGGTGCAGTGGCCAGCGTTTTGGCCAGCTTTTGGGCATTAGATCGCAACTCTAATTGATAAAAAACGCGACAAGTCAAGATCGCAATGCTAATTTATAATAGAAAAATTCCAAACGCGATTTATAAAAATAAAAGCAACCGCGAATGGTGATTATTCGCAACACTACCCTGAAA